TTTTTAAGAAAGTGGGACAAGAATCTATGTGCAGTAGTCTAGTATGGGCCAGTAATATTTACAATCACAGATGAAAAACGCAGGCAGAAGTCTTTAGGCTGGCGAGTTCACCCCTCCCACCTCTGACTTCTCCCTCTATGCCCCACTGCTCACGCACATTGGCATGGTTCCCCCCTGTCATATAGGATCCAGGTCTCTCAGATGTGTTTAAAGAAATCGAATGAAAGCTTCAGATTGCAGCAGTGCATTTTAATGTGCACACTGCAGAGCTGGCTACTGTGAAACATCTGTTTCTGATAAAGAGACTTCAGGATGTTTCTTTTTTCAATGTAAATTTCATTGTAAGAGACAATAAAACCAGAAAACAAAATTCAAACTAGTATCTGAGGCTAGAAGAATCCAGAACAACAAAAAAAAGTCCAGAAGCACACTTTGACCTTTTCATATGCTATACACATGTGTGCAGAATATCTTGTTTTGTCAAAAAAATATATTAAGTACTTAGGCCAGTATTTTCCTTTCTTTCTTACACAGTAAAACACCATGTCTTCCCTACGTGTGGTTAAAGGAGCACTCGCAGACTTGCGCTATGCCCATACCTAAGAAGAGGAGAATGTCATTGAGGTATCTCTTAAATATAATTATTCACTAACTCAGAAAATATATATGGAGCACCCACCATGGAGGTGTGCTCTATGAGCCTGGGATAGAGCATTGGGCAATCTGAAGAACAGCAATGAGACTTGTAGAGGCTGGAGAGGAACATAGGAAATGATCTGAAGACTCACGGAAATGAGGTCAGAGAGATCATGGGTGTCACAGATCATGTGGGCCATTTATGTCCATCAACTTTGTTTTATACTTACAACGCTGGAAAGCCAATAGAGGGTGGAGGGATACGATCTGACCAAAGTTTGAACAGCATCACTTTTGCTGCACGTTGAGAAGTGATTGGAGAAGGATAAAGAGGAGGGACAGGAAGTTTAGGAGGCTATTCCAATAATCCAGGAGAAAGATGGAAATGGCTTGGACCAAGATGGATAAGTGAGGGTGGTGAGAAGTGGTCACATTTCATATATATATCAACAAGATTGATATTGGTAGAAGAGACAGGATTGTGGGAAAAAGAAAGGAGTCAAGGATGGCTGCAAAGATTTGGTCTGAAAAGATTACAACCCAGAAAATACTAGGGTAACATTTTCAGTTGAGCATGGGTTGATTGAACAATTTTTCCCTTCTGAAACCCCCAAAAATAAAATAAAATAAAAAACAACAGGAGAGGAAGTGGCAGCCAATGACAGATGCCTACAAGTAGAAGTGAAGCACGTGCAGTGAAGGGGCCAACAACAAGCTCATTGCTTCAGGTTGCATGACTCTGGGAAGAAAGGGTTGGATGTGAAAGCCCCAGAGGTTTCCAAAGTCAGATGTGAGGCATAGTTTATTCCTTCCCCAAACAGAAGGTTGTCCCTCTCACATTTTGGGAGAACGCAACAAGTTTTCACTTTAGAAGTTAAACCAGAGAAGGCTTGGACTCAACAGGGGCGGGGATGACGGGCCACACTGAAAATTGGGATTATATGAAAGGCTGCCTGTGATGGTTAATTTAATGCGTCAGCTTGGCTAGGCTTGGTATCCAGTTGTTTGGTCAGACACTAGTCTAGATGTTGCTATGAAGGTGTTTTTTAGATTTTCGCAGAATATAAGAACACTAATCTATAGACAAAAGGGCTCACCAAGTGCTGAGAAAAATTAGTTTACCAAAAGCATATCATCACGAAATTTTCTGAAATGAGGGATATAGAATGGTGAAGCTTCTGGAATGTGAAAAAGAAAAAAAACAAGAACCTAAATGGTACTGCTAGAAGATAATGGTGACATAAATATTTTTAGTGAAAATGATTCTATATTGTGGTAAAATTTCAAACAGCTATGAGTATGGATTAAAGATAATTTCAGACATTCAAAATTCTAAAAGAAAAAATTTACTTCCCCCCTTGTAGTCTTTTTCAGAAGCTACTGGAGCATTTGCTCTACCAAATATACAAATAAACCAAGAAAAAACAACGCAGAATTTGGGAAATGAGATCCAACACAGGAGACATGAAGGAAATCCTCAGTACAGCTACGAAAGTCAGATCTAGAATATAGCTGTGTAACAGAACTGGAGATTGACTGGCTCAGATCAGAACAGGAGGATCGGGGGTTCAGATCTTCCAAAGGACTGATGTATCTAGTGGAAAAAAACATATATACACAGACACACACCACCTATTAGTTCTTTTTCTCTGGAGAACCCTAACTAATACAGATGCCCCTTGTTAAAACTCCTGATTATTTCTCAGTGTCTCCAATTAAAGAAACCACTCACTGAGTGCATGCAATGTACAAGGAATTATATTAGTCTTGTAGCTATACAAGTTGAATAAGATAGTCCTTGCTCTCAAGATATTGAAATTCTAACAAGGGAAATAAGACAACTGTACAAGTAAAGAAAATACAAGAATATTTTAAATATGATTATTTTCATTAATAGGGATGATCCCCATTCTATATCCTCCTTAAAAGAGAGGACAATTTGCCATAAACCTTTGGCGAGTAGTTTTGTGACATCTGTGCTTAGGCAAATGGCCACCAAGAAATTATCCTCTTAAAAAACAACGCTGTATCAGGTAAATCCCAAAAAGAAAGGGACCAGAAGGAGATAGAAGAGACAATGATGGGGGAAGAAAAAGATTATGATTTTCCAGTATTTTTAAATTTAATTTGTATTTTTACCAAAACTTATGTGCAGATAGAATTTGAAATCAAATAGAATTTAAAAGTTCACAGTAAAATAGGGGTCCACAGCTCCATCCTCCTCCCAGGAATCTCCCTGCTCGGAATGACCACCTTCAACTCCTTTAGACTTTTATTTCTGTGTTTCTGAATAACAAACATATATTGTTCCCCCTCAACTTTTAAAATTTAAACTATTGCCTTCTTACTGTAGACGGTGAGTAATTAGCTCGTTATGCCCCTCCTCAGTAATTTCTGTATTTGATTAAGTCAATGTTCAGAGATTATTTTGTTATGACTATATAAATCTATTTCACATATCTGCCTTATAATATGTTTTGATTATATTTCCTTCCTTGAAAAATTTGCCTCTGCTAGTTTTCTAGGGATCTCTTAGGTATTTCTAGGAATCAAAACTCTCCAATAGAAATTTATCCAAGAAATCTATCAGTTTCTTTTTTTCCCCACTTAATATATCAATCCACTGGAGAACCCGAATCCTTGATCCTCCTGTTTTGATTTCAGTTAGCTGATCTCCAGCTCTGTTGCATAGCTGTATCCTAGCTCAGAATGAAACATCAATAAACTATAACAATAGATAATTGCTCTAAAAGATATAACATTTGATCTGTTAGCTGTAGCTACCTTATTTAGAAAGAAGAATATATAAATCATGGTTATTTGTGCAGGAGACTAAGTCCCTTATCAAAATTAGAGACATTCATAAATAGTAAAAGAGAAGTATCTTAGGATATCAAAAAGAAAGACAATTGATGGCAAATTTGGAAGGGTGACCCTGAAGCTGAAGAAGCACAGTGTGCTGTAGCTGGCATGTGGGCCAACTGCCCAGCTCTCAGTAATCTTCCTCTTTTCTCAGATGCTCACCACCTTGCTCCTACCTGAAGGTGTGGTGCTCAGAAGCCATGCTTATTTTATGCAACCTTGACACTCCCGGCCATGGTGAATTGGCTCAGAGGTAGCCACCAGAACAAAACTGAATCAATTAGAATTTCCCTCTTGGAATTATAACTGAGGCCGCTACAAAGTCTCTCTGTATAGCTGGAACTAGGACTGTAAGCAGACTCGGGGGGGCATGGGGTGGCCATATAACCATGCAGACAGGGAGAGACGAGCTGAGTGTGCTCTTCTGCAGAGAGAGAGAATATGAATGGGAATGAACGAATGAATGAATACATATCAATGGGAGCTCCCATATCAGGTTTTGTGGGGCACCCAGTGATAATATAGCCTCCATTTACGTTTGAGCTGGTTCAATTTTTTTTGGATACTTATATCTCAAAAAGAATTAACTATTCATCAATTCCTTCCTGTCTCTTTGGATTTACTTGTCACATTGACCAATGTCAAAGGAAGGGTATGGCTCAACTTTCCTCAGCTAGATTCCTTATCAGGTAAAACAGGACTTTAGTCCTACACAGGCAAATCACTCATTTGTATCATACTCATTTGCACAGGCTCATATACCTTAGAGCTGATTGTGGCAGGCAGGACAACAATTAATACAGCTGTTAAACAACTGATAAATATTTACACTTATCATGACATCATGACAAATTTATTATAAAGAAACTGTATTGTTTTAGTTAAAATCATATAAAGGCAAGGAGAAAGCCATAGATAGGGTCCATCTTTCTTCCAGTAGGGAAACAGATGGAAAGATGGGCACAGTAAGACTAAACAGTAGCCTATTTTATTAATTTGGTGGCGCTTAAAAATAATTCTAGATGTTTCTATATGATGCCAGAATCTATAGCCCATTCACTCAAAACACTTGGTCAGCTTTATTCAGAAAATCGGTTAATCATCTGAATATTTGGCATTGTATAGATAATCAACTCAAGTTTTCATTTCTCTGGAAAATAAAATTTATTCTCGCTTTTCTTAGTTCAGATTTTCTTTTTAGTTGTTAAAAGGGGATTTACTTCAAGCTGAGAAATTAAATATAAGTAAGTCTCAATTATTAAGCGTCTGATTGGCTGGCATTCATCTAAAGGGTCATCCCAAATACAGCAACACAAATATGCCACATAACCTTGAACAAATTGAATAGTTATATCTGTATTGGATAATGGTACAAATACAGCAATGATGTTGGAAATAGACTTTTTAGAAATCCCAACCCAGAAACAAAGAGGAATCACCAGATAAGGAATAATGAAAGGAAAGTCATTGTGCCCTGAAAATGTCATACATTTCTTTCTTACCTGGTTGACACTGATTACACCTTCTTCCTTGACGATTAGGCAAACATAGGCACTGGCCACTGATTGGGTCACAAATGGTCCCAGGCAATGTCCCCAAGGAGTCACACTCACACATCTGGCAGCCTTGGAAATTGCCAATGGTCAAATTGTACCTGTGAGGCTCACACTGATTACAATGAAGACCTGTTACTCCTAATTTGCAAGGACATTGTCCTGTTGATTTGTCACACAGCAGAGAGCCATTTACTGTTCCACGGCTATCACAGTTACAAGGCAGACACAGGAAAGAATTATTTTGCCGCAGGTAGAAGTATCTGTCCAAACATTCATTGCACTGTCTCCCTCCAACATTGGGTTTACAGACGCACTGCCCTGTCGCAGCATCACAGACACTCCCAGGGACAGATCCAGCTGCATCGCAGTCACAGGCCTTACAACTGGAGATGTCCAGCCCATAAAAGTGTTCTCTGCAGGTGTCACACTGAAGTCCTTTGGCTTCTTTTTTGCACTCACACTGCCCGGAAAGAGGATTGCAGAGTTTGTTCACTGAGCCGTGGACGTTACACTGGCAGGGCTCACATCCGTCATCATTAAAACTTCGGAGAAATTTAAATCCAAAATTGCAATGATCACATCGAAGGCCTAAAGATAAAATGTGTTTTAAAAGGTGAGGATGAGAAAATGATCCCATTCAAGCTTTCAAGATAGCTGACATACAAACAATGCTACTGCCAACATTTAATGCAAACACAAAATGTTGTGTTTTCTTACAAGCAATGCCATAGAGGGCTGATCATATACTCAAAATACAATGGCAATGCTTAATTTGGCACTCACACCCAACTTTATTTTTGTAATGTGCTGTACAAAATTTTATTTATTACTTAATGCAAATAAAAATGTTTAATGCAAATATTGCTTCTGTTACATGTACAAGAGTTCTTTTCCTCTTTAGCAAATATTAAAACTATTATTTTAAAGCTATTTAACTATATTAAAACTGTTCTTTTTCCTTACTTTATATTAAGAAAGCACAGTCACTTAAAAGTAGAGAGCAAAATACATTTTCAAAGGCATACAGAAGAATCACATATTCCCACATTATTTTCCTCGAAATCAGAATCCCCTAAAAATGTTTATAATACAATGGTAAGCTGATAACTATTTTTGTGATAATAGTATATACGCTTGCTTCTGGATATCATACATTTACATAATTACTATAAATAAAACTTATCCAGAGCATTTTTTATTTGAATGCTTTTATATGCTCCTATATTTTATCATTTTCAATTAATATAAATTATGCTCTCCTTGGCTCATAAAGCAATCACATTGCTTGTCATATTGTGTGATTCAGAACATACTTCTTTAAACACTAAGTAAATTCTGCTCTTTATATTACTTCTATTTAAAAGAGACATATAGACATTTCACAAACAGAGAAAAATGGTTTTTCACCTAAACTTAAACCTCTGACAACTTAGGTTAGTTTCCAAAAGAGTCTACAAGGCAAAAGAATAAACATGTTTTTGAATAGTAAAGGTTGAGATGCAAAATACTCCCTTTAGATGGTCTTCACATATCCATGAATTTAAATAACTATGTGGGGTTGAATCAATTGAAACATTTATTTCAAGCTATAATAGCAATAAAAAAATTAGTCCTAAAATAAGAGTCAAAAACACACTCAGGAACTCATATGTAGAAAAACATTTCCTAAACTGGAAGGAAATGCATAATATATATGTATATATATGGATAAAAATTCAAGAACTCCAACGGAAGGCAAGTTCTTTAACAGTGATGAATGGCCCACCTAAGGCATATCATTTAATTTCAATAAGGAAAATAAAAAAGGACCACTATTGCTGCAAATTTTAAAAATAACTGTATTGTTAACAAGAATTATGACTCATTTTGAACTATTAAAATTGGTCTACATGGATTCATATCATATCAGTTTTAAAAATATGCGCAGTGCTTATTTGAATATGCCATACATATTCGTGACAGGTAATCTATTCCTAACGACACTCAGAAAGGCCTAGAGGGTACCACAGTCGGTGTTAACAAGTGCAGGCGAGTTAGCACACTTGGCATTTAATTCACATTCTTCTCCCCTTTTATTCTAGATGAATGACCTACTTTAATAAAATTATTGGTGCTAATGTATTTTACCGGTGATAGAATCATTAGTAAGATTTAACAGTTTTGTTAAGTCTAACAGTTTGCTTTGTGAAGCACAGACAAGACACACTTGTATTTTCTGTTGTTGTTTTTTTTAATCACATTAAGAAGGTAAAATTGAATAACGTTACTTGCTAATCCCATTAGGAAAAGAAATATATATACATATCAGGTTTACATTTTGATTAAAAAGACTGCCTGTGCAGAAATCACTCTAGAAATAATATCAAAATGATGATGTCATGCTCAAAAATACATATTTATATTTTCCTGCAGAAAGCCATCTGGATCAACCAATAATATAGGTAAATGGCAGGGAGGTCATAAGAAATTCCAAGTAAATAGTAAAGTTTGGTTTTTTTCCCTTCTTAAGCTCTGGCTTCAAACCATCACAGGAAAGATTTTATTGATATAGGGCCATAACCATTTCATTGTCTTTAAAGACCTTCCTTTAAATTTTGTTTTCACATCTTGAGTTTAAAATATATCTCACATTAAAGAACAAAGGATGCCATATAGGTTGAATTTACAGATCTTAGAATTCATTCAGCAACACAGATAACACTCAGACAAAAATGTGCTCCTCTTTACAAGTTAATTATTCTTTTCATCGGAAAAGTTAGTTTTTATATGCTTGAAATGCATAAGGGCAAGTTATGTTAAAGATTTTGATGCAATCTTTCTTTAAACTAGATAAATCTTGTGTAATACCATTAAGCATGGCCATATTCTTTTTCATTTTTTATTTTTTATTTTTTTTTATTTTTTTTTTTAAGATTTTTATTTTTTCCTTTTTCTCCCCAAAGCCCCCTGGTACATAGTTGTGTGTTCTTCGTTGTGGATGCTTCTAGTTGTGGCATGTGGGACGCTGCCTCAGCGTGGCTTGATGAGCAGTGCCATGTCCACGCCCAGGATTCGAACCAACGAAACACTGGGCCGCCTGCAGCAGAGCGCGCGAACTTAACCACTCGGCCAAGGGGCCAGCCCCAGCCATATTCTTTTTTATTAAATTAAAATGGAATGCTTGTCTAGCCAAATTGTATAAAACTATGTATTTATATCTATATATATAAAAGATAAAGAATTAGCTTTAGCGTTATATCACAGAAAGGAAAATGTTATTCCGAGTGATATGTTCCTATGTATGTGTATAGGGATGTAAGCATTTGTGTGCATGTGTGTGTGTGTGTGACTGCCAGGCACGTTTTTATTATTATAAGGTTCAGGTCAGTGTTAGAAAAACCATGGAAGGCTTGGTGTCTTGGATGACAATAAAAAGGTGAAAGTCTTTTTTAAACTTCCTATATGAACCAAGACATGTTCAGTTACAACACGAGACTCACTTCATCAGGAAACTTTCGTCTCATAATATTCTCATATATCAAAATTTCAAAGTGCATTATGTACATAGTGCATTTTGGGCACTTGATAAATTTTGTCCTTATGTGGCTGTGGTTCCCCTCAAAAATGTTGGATGTAATAAATTGCTATAATCAAATCTAATTTCTGAAAAATACCTGTGGGAGTAACAAACAAAAAAGCACGTCTTGTATAAAAAAATGATAAATAACACCGAAGGTAGCTGTTTATTATAATCAGCTTGGCAGTGAATTACAAAATTAAAATTATGTGGCCCTTTATAACTAACTCTAGCAATGGACGTGATCTGTGGAATTATATTGACTTGTTTTGCATTTCATAGGAACAGTTCAAAGAAATATAATAGAAAAAAATGGAAAGATTTATCACAAAGGACCCTGTAGCACAGAATATTTTGAAAAAAATCCATTTATTTTGGTCTATTAAGAAAACTAGCATGGAAATGATTTGCTTAGAACTCATTAAGTGTAAAACATTTTGAAAAAGTGCTAATTTTCTAAAAGAAACATCTAGGCAGTAAGCAAATTATATTTTTCTATGACTTATTAGTACGGCCCTATGTGAACTAACACATCTACAGAATAAAGAAACTTCTAAAGGGTTGATTAAACTAAGCTTCAAGGTGTAGTTTGATAGAATTATTAATTTAATCATTTTTAGACAGTTAATTTCATCCAAATTGTTTTTTTTTTTCCCCAGCCTGCCTTGAGCAAGGAAATCTGCTTTACTCTTCAGTTAAGAAATCAAATAGAGAATTTTATTCCAGACGGTAATAGAGACGTGACTGTAAACTTTGGCATTACACATACCAATAACATTTGCTTTGCACTTGCACTGGCCTGAATTTGGGTGACAAGTAACATCTCCATCCACTGTCCCAGAGGTATTACAGTTACAGGAACTGCAGCCATCAGGGTCCCACTCCTGTAGATTGTAAAATCCATTCTGGCACTGATTGCACTGTCTGCCAGACACGTGTCTCTTACAATTACACTGGCCTCCAATCTGGAGAAGATACAACATTTTGTAGAATGATGAACGTATCTATTTTTAGATAAATTTGCTCATTAGGTACAAGACAGGGAGGGAGGGAGAAAAAAACTTTCAATGTTAAACAGACAAGAAGGTAATAAGGTATTTTTCCCCCTGACACAAAAATATGGAAAGCTTCGGCGCGATGAATATATAGAACTGAAAGAAAATACACCCCAGAGAAGTCAGTAGGATATGACTTAAGGGAAACGTGGAATGAAGCATTAAGCACCAGAGAAAGAAATCAAAATATAGTCATGTGGAGACTGAAAACAGAAAGAGCCAGCAGTTAAGTTAGTCTTTACAACTCTACCTCTCTTTTTGTTCTTCTCATTTACTGTCCTGTTAATCCAAACTGGTTTTATACATGCCAGGTGCTTAAACTAAGGAAGAATCTTTCTATAATATTATCATCTCGTTAAGGTTTTAACAACGTCTAAAATAAAGTTCTTTGTTAATAGCATCCATTTACGCTCACTGATACTGATCCTGCTAACGTTTTTTTTTCACACTATTCTGCTTTTAGGAATATTTCAGTATACTTATTGTTTATTTGTAGCAGGATGTAATTACATTAAGTATAATTAGCTGATTTATATTATGGTAAAAAATGCAAAAGAAAGTTACGTGTTTTAGAGCATTGTCAAGCAAAGTAACAGCTGAAAAAAGGAGTATTTTTCCTCTTAAAGCTGCTGTTTAAGAACGAAAATATGTAAAATCCGTAATCCTCATCTATGACATACATAGACAATACCACGTTGGTTATAGAAAGATGATTAAGAGCTAGAACTTTTCGTAAGAGAACATATACATATAAAATGTGAAACAAATACGAGAAATTCAATAATAACTTATCTGTTCACTGGAGATGTGCATGCAGACATCAAATATCATAAAGTTCCTGGCAGTTCCCCCCCTGATTTCCTTTCACTTGGACTGAATCCAGCCCTCCACATTTGGGGACAGGGTCATCACAGAGGGAAGTAACCTATGGCTTGAATCACCTTAAATCTCAGAGATATTCCAAAAGTTCACATGAGGTTGGGATGCAATTACAAAGAGGTAAAGAAGGGATTTTTAATCAAATAATTTTTACAAATCTACCTACCACTCTCCCGTTTTTCCTTATCTGAGAAATAGGGACTCATTGGAATCATTAAGGATAAAATAATTGACATGAAAACATCCAATAGTTTGATAAATAAAAGTTCATACATGCACCAGATGTTGTTGTAGAAAACAAGGAGCTTCAATAGCAAAGACACATGTAGGTCCAGAAAGATACACAAGGACCATGAATTGTCTCCTTGGATCTGGCTGTATTCCCCACCCCCACTCTCAACCAGACCCATGGGAACCAGACCCTTACTCAAGATAGGCATTTGGTTTGGTCTGCAAAAATAAATGGCACTTATTGCTGGGTATCTGTTACATGTATCTGTGAAATCTAATAGGCCTCTGATTACATAATTATAACACTTCACGTCCATCACCCTATAATTAAGCCCTTATTTTTTGCTGTTGCTTCACAAGCATTAGTCTTGTTCTCCAAACAGATGGCAAGTACCTTCAGGGATTGGACATACGTTATATTTCTGTCAAAGAATAACCTTATAAATTCTCCACATCTGAAGAGCGCTCTTTCAAAGATCAAGAGCAGGAAAGAGTGAAAAAAGTAAAGAGAAATCAAAGTGTATTCTGGCAAAACTTTATCTCCTATACATTTCGTTATATTCTTATTTAAACGTAATGCATATATTACATAGAACTTCCTTAACTCTTGAAATGTAGATAAGACTGCCTATAACCCTAACTTCATTCCTATTGAAGGACAAAAGTGCTCCTAAGTTGATGAGAATTCTATTGATATTTCCATGGTCACCCTGACCCTAAATTTCTGCTTCTTCCATTTTGGAATCTTCTTGCCACCTGAGAGCTCTGCCTTGTATCTGCCTAGAGGTGAAATTTAGCCAATGCCTCAATTTCAAGAAGAGAAGCTCTTATTAAAAATAAATATGAACTAAACTTTACCATAGATTTTGGGTGGAAGAAGAACGAGAGCTTTACTTTGTAAATTTTTATATCTTTTTACTTTCCCTACAACTGGGGATTTTCATAGGCTTCTGCACTCCAATTAGTCACCATATCTGTGCCTTCTCTCTCCCTACTCCTCACTCCTCTCTAATGCCTGTCTATTTTTCCTCTTTACACCTGACTCTCACCTTTTACACAGAACATCTCAAAAGCATCCATTATTGCCTTGATTTTTTCAACACCTCTGTCTTATCAAGGTTTATTATGTCGATAAAACTAAATCTTTCAATATGAGAAACTCTGCAGCAAATAATATAATGTTACTCCCATTTCATTAACCTAAAACTTTGTATAACACATATAGATTATAACTTCTCTATATTAGCTATACCTTAAAATGTGATTAAAAAGTAAGTGATAAAAGGCTGTATGGTTTTAATGAGCTCATTTTCATCAGTTTCTCAAAATTCACCTGAAAACACAAATTTACTTTTGTACAACTCAACTGTTGATACTCTTCATTTTAAGGAAGGGACCATAAATCTACTCATACTTTAGGACCAATTCCTGTCCACCAAAAGGTGTGCCTCTTCCCTTTAAAAACATGCTTCCAAAAAGTCAGATACAAAACGTGTCTGTTTCCACACTCTTTAGTAGAATACTTCTACACTAGATCTAGATTGACCTTTGGTTTTCTTTGGCCAATAGAATGTCAGCAAATCTGATGCAAGCAGAGACTTGAAATGCTTGCCACTTTGGAGTTTGTTTTCTCTTCCTGGGGTTCAAACCCTGAGACCACCTTGTAAACAGACTCAAGCTATCCACTGGAGGTTTACGTGACGTGTGGAAGAGACCTGAGTTGTCCGGCTAGTAGTTGCTCCTATCACCCCACTTAACAGCCTGCTTGACAACAACTGGATATATCAGTGAGGCTTCTAGATCATTGAACTTCCAGCTGACCAGCTAGCTAAGCATAGATGAGTGAAAGATCCCAAATGAGGTCAGCCAAGCCAGCCCAGACCACCGCCAAGCCAAATCATAGCATCCTAAACTAAGTAAATGGGTTTTGTCATTTTAAGCCACTAACTTAGCAGCAAATGTAACAGATACAATATCATTGACCAGAATTTAAATTACATTTTTATGCCTACCTGCCAGGGAGGTTGAAAAATGTAATTTATTCTCTATGATTATCTCGTCAGCTAATATTGAGATTTCTTTAGTAATGTAGAAGGGAAAACAAATAATAGGGTACAATTGCTGTCTGATAACAAGCAAATGTATGTTCATACTTCAAGCCATGGAAATTCTTCTGCTCTTTAAGGCTTAAAATATGGTCTTGGTTTTGTAAGTTTTGGTCTTGTGTGCTTCAAGCCACATGAGCAAAGAGGAAAAAAGATGCTCTCCATGAGCTCTAGTTAGAAACTCAGAAATAACTTTTGATTAGCCTGACTTGGGTCATATGTCTTTTTCCCTAGTTTCTTTCTTTCTTTTTCTTTTTTCTTTTTTTTTTTTTTGCTGAGGAAGATTCACCCTGAGCTAACATCTGTTGCCAATCTTCCACTTTTTGCTTGAGGAAGATTCATCCTGAGCTAACATTCATGCCAGTCTTCCCCTATTTTGTATGTGGGACGCCACCACAACATGGCCACCAACAAGTGGCGTAGGTCCATGCCTAGAAACCAAACCCGGACCACTGAAGTGGAGCATGCCGAACTTAACCACCAGACCACGGGGCCAGGCCCCACCTTTTTCCTAGTTTCTTAAGAGAGGTCTTTCTTCTTTTCTAATATAGAGAATTGGTGCTTGTATTATCCCTAAATGTGCTATATAGTCACCTCACAGTTTTGATATATTGTTTTCATTTTCATTCAATTCAAAATACTTTGTAATTTTCCTTTGATTTCTTCTTTGATCTGCAGGTTATTTAGAAGTCTGTTATTTAGCCTCCAAATATTTAGGGAAATTCCAGAAATTATTCTGCTATTGATTTCTCATTTAATTTAATGATTATAGTTAGATAACGTACTTTATATGCCTTGACTCCCTTTAAATTTATTGAAGCTGGCTTTACAGCCCAGAATTTGATCTATTTTGGTAGATGTTTTGTGTAGACTGGAAAAGTACGTGTATCCTGCTGTGCTGTGTTCCATAATTGTCAATTAGTTCAAGTTGGTTGATAGTGTTGTTCCAATCTTTATATTTACTGATTTTCTGTTAGTTTTCTATTAATTATCAAGGGAGGGATATTGAAATTTTTGCCTATAATTGTAGGTTTTTCTACTTCTCCTTTCAGTTTTGTCAGTTTTTGATTTGTGTATTTTTAAACTCAGTTGTTTGGTATATAAATGCTAAGAATTATTATATCTTTTTGATGAATTGAATTCTTTTGCAATATGACTTTTCTTTATTCTGGGTGAAACTTTTGCTCTGTAATCTACATTTTCTGATATTAATAAAGTCACTGCAGCTTTCTTATGATTTGTGCTTGCATGGTATATCTTTTACCATCTTTAACTTGTAACCCGTGTATATCTTATATTTAAAATGTCTTTTTTAATAGGCAGCATGTAATCAATTTTTAGGGTCTTATATTTCATTCAATCTTCCAATCTCTGACTTTTTTATTTAAGTTCTCTACATCTTCCTGATTGTTATTATAAACATATTTTTCTAGAAAATTGTCTTTTAATTTCAGTGTTGAGATTTATTTTCCGTAGCATAAATACGTTTATAGTATTCATCCTGATGTTTTTATATACCTACCATATATACAGTTACATACTCTTTTTTATGCCTTTTGTTCTTATCAACTTTGCTTAGGGTTTCTTCTTTTATTGGTTTTTTTAATCAAAGAGCAATACTTAGAATTTCTTGATTTTTTTTTTATAGTTCCTTTAGTTTCTGTTTAATTTTTTTTGGTCTTTTCTTTTTCCTAC